AGCTTCGTATTCGCTATGTTAATAATTGTTTTCGTGATCACAATCTCATCTTCTCCGATGTTCTCGCCACCACTGTACCCACTCCGAGAAGCATTTTTGCACCTACTGAACCTTCATGTCATGTCCCTCCCAGCTGACAATCCCGACCACGTCGAGATGCCGATGTCCCCTCTTTCCCCAGTTGATCTATCCTGATTCATAATACTCGATATACCTGTTGCCAGTTCCCACACATACCATTATATGATATAGACTGGTTAGTGTTCACCCATATTTCTCCTCCATCTGTAAATATAGCCTCCTGTGCTGACTTGCACGCTTACCCTGATATTATTCATTTTACCCATTTTTCGTCGCTTGGCTGACGAGAGGGCGTAACCCTCTACTGGCCCGCCGGTCCCTCCGGGATCGGAATGAAATAACGCTTATGTTGTTGTTGTTGTTGTGAGATTATCCACAGATTTATCATTTTTAAAATGCGATATAACATTTAGTTCAGAATACTGCAGAACGCGGAATTGTCCAGAGATTTACTTTTTAGAAGTTAACAAACGCGATTTGTCTCCGCGTTAAACGTTCTTGTCATTCTTTGTATGTAGTAAAAACAGAACTATCGCCATCTCCCAAATAGAAATATTTCGAAAAATTAGTTTTTAATCTTTTTTTTTTTGTGTGTGCACGCTTACTACTTTTGTTTTTGTGTTTTTATGACAACTTGAAATAAATATATATTAAAGATTCTTTCTAGAGTTTTATATATGTGGGGATGCATTGTAATGAGACTAATGTTGATCAAATAATGAGACTAATGTCAACCATATAGTGAGACTAGTGTTGACCATCTAGTGAGACTAATGTTGCCCACCTAGTGAGACTAGTATCAACCATGTGGTGAGACTATGTCAACCATGTAATGACACTAATGTTGACCAAGTAGTGAGACCAGTATCAACCACGTAGTGAGTCTAATGTTGACCACCTAGTGAGACTCTTAGCAACCGTGTAGTGAGTCTAATGTTGACCACCTAGTGAGAGCAGTGTCAACCATTTAGTGAGACTAACGTTGACCACCTAGTGAGACTTGTGTTAACCACCTAGTGAGACTATTATCAACCATGTAGTGAGACTAATGTTGCCCACCTAGTAAGACTAGTATCAACCATGTAGTGAGACTATGTCGACCATGTAATGACACTAATGTTGACCAAGTAGTGAGACTAGTATCAACCACGTAGTGAGTCTAATGTTGACCACCTAGTGAGACTCTTATCAACCGTGTAGTGAGTCTAATTTTGACCACCTAATGAGACTTGTGTTAACCATATGCAAACTTTACAATAAGTGGAATAAACAAAGATGTTACCAAAGGCACACATTTACATCTGAGGATCTGTTTAGTGATGCAAACAAGTGACATTTTCTCCATTCCCACACTATAGAAAATTTCCTGTAATGTAATATTTCGTTTTCTCTATTCTATAGAAGATATATAGTATATATATATATATATATATATATATATGTATATATTCTATAGTATATATTCTATATACTATAGAAGATTGTAAATTAATATTTGTTTCATTACGGCATTTTGAAATGCAAAGAATTATTGACAAAATCGCCCATCTTTATCCAACTGTCATTATGCATGTTAACTGGATAGTGTTAAAAACAATTTTATAGATTTTGTACATTATGTGCATCCTCCAATGATATTGACCGTTATGCATAATACCACAAGATTGTTGACTGGGAAGCGTTTGACTGAACTGAAAAAGTATGTTCTTAGGTTACGTAAAGTTTGTTTGTTTGTTTTGGATTTCGCGCAAAGCTACACGAGGGATATCTGCGCTAGCCGTCCCTAATTTAGCAGTGTAAGACTAGAGGGAAGGCAGCTAGTCATCACCACCCACCGCCAACTCTTGGGCTACTGTTTTACCAACGAATAGTGGGATTGACCGTCACATTATAACGCCCCCACTGCTGAAAGGGCGAGCATGTTTGGTGGTACGGGGATTCGAACCCGCGACCGTCAAATTGCGAGTCGAGGGCCCTAACCACCTGGCCATGCCGGGCCCGGTTACGTAGAGACCTAACTGACATCCTATACGTTAGGCGTTAGGTTTGTTTGTAATTAAGCACAAAGCTATATAATGGACTATCTGTACTCTGCCCACCACGGGTATCGAAACTCGGATTAGAGCGTTGTAAGTCCTCAGACATATTGCTGTGCCACAGGGGGGCTTTTCTCTGCCCGCCACGGGTATCGAAACCCAGTTTTTTAGCGTAGTAAGTTCGCAGAAATACCGCTGTGCTACTGGGGGGGGGGCAACTGTTGGGTTTACTCTGTTTGAAAAGGCGTAAAATAACAAATATTGAAATAAGTCATATATTAACATTTCCCCCGAATAAAGAGATAGAGCGTCAAAAATGTTGGTATCGATGTATATATATGTATATGTCAAATATTCGTTGTTCTGCACGTGTATATATATCCCCACACGCAAAACAATATGCCATGCAGAACAACGAAAATTCGATATCTCTCCGTGTGTATTTGTGTTTATATGAATATCATAAAAGTGTTTTCTAACACAAGAGGGCGCATTTCAGACTCGCGTTGCGAAATGAGCCAGTCGATCATCGCGAGAAGACGCGTTCAACCAATTCACATCCAGCTATCGATACGGTTTGGATGCAGTTTCGGGGAAGAGAAAAGTCGTTAACGCGGTTTATCCTCCTCTCACCTTATGTATACATATATATAATATCTAAGTTTCAAAAAAAAAGAAAGTAGAATGAAAATAAAAACTCGGTTTTGATATTAAACTAAATTGGTTTCCTATTTAGAATCGATTGGTAATATATTTGATTTTTTGAGTCGATAACGCAAGATACTTCTCTTTCTCTCGAATCACAAAGACTGCGTAAACAGAGTAGCAGTTTTAACGTACCGAAGAACACAATAGCATGGAAACGTCCGCAGATAACGCAACGTTAAATAACAGCGAGGTGATGAGCGAAGAGTCATCACCCGAAATGAAATGGCCAGCAGAAAAAATATGCATTGTATGTATGTATTGTATGATATTCATCTTCGCCGTTCTGGGCAATGCGTTGGTCATTGTGACCCTGGCACAAAACAAGAGAATGAAAACAGTAACCAATGTTTTCTTGATGAACCTAGCTGTAAGTGACCTGCTCCTAGGGGTCTTTTGTATGCCATTTACCCTTATAGGCAGCTTACTGAGAAACTTTATTTTTGGGAAAGTAATGTGTCGCCTCATTCCGTACCTTCAAGGTGAGTTGATGTCTGTCTGTTAAGTTTGACGGTAACTCTGATATTGTTGTCCTGAAAAATATTACCAGAATAAGGTTCGATTAATTACAGAAAATTTATTTACTTAAAACTGAAAACTTGACGATCAGCATTTTAAGTTTTAATATCAATTTACGTGGGGGTCAGTATGTTTTTGGGGGTTAGTATGTTTTTGGGGGTCAGTATGTTTTTGGGGGTTAGTATGTTTTTGGGGGTCAGTATGTTTTTGGGGGTTAGTATGTTTTTGGGGGTTAGTAAGTTTTACATTTTCATCCTTTGGATTTGATGTCGTAGCTTTAAATCTTAAGATGGCGATAAAACAAATATTGGAAAAGATAATAAGAAACGAGATTACTTCGATGGCAGTTAAAGATATTAGAAATCTCCAAAAAAAACAAAGTAAAAAATAAATAAATAAAGAGATAACTTTGGTGTTAGATAAAAACATTAGAAATCTCCAAAAAACAAAGTAAAAAAAAAATAAAGTGATAACTTTGGTGTCAGATAAAAACATTAGAAATCTCCAAAAAACAAAGTAAAAAAATTATAAATAAAGAGATTTTTGTTTGTTTGTAATTAAGCATAAAGCTACACAATGGGCTATCTGTGCTTTGCCCACCACGGGTATCGAAACCCGGTTTCTAGCGTTGTAAGTCCGCAGACATCCCACTGTGCCACTGGGGGGTAAATAAAGAGATAACTTTGGAGTCAGATAAAAACATTTAAAATCTACCAAAAAAAAAAAAAATCGAATATGTCGGAAATTCAATGTTACAAAACATAGGTTTCTAGCCCGCCAATAAGCTCATACTCAATTCTTTCAGAATATTCAGAAAGTCGGGTTTATTACTTTCAGATCATTCGTAAACTCGGGTTTAATACTTTCAGAACTTTCAGAAACTCGTGTTCAATACTTTCAAAACATTCATAAGCTCAGATATTATACTTTCAAAACGTTCGGAAGCTCATGTTTGATACTTTCAGACACCAAACATCTAATACAAAAGAGTCTTTGAACCGAATGATCTGATCAAAAAAGACAAACCGATCGACTTATCTAGTAAGAAACACCAGATCTAGCGACATTTTTAAAACCTAGGTATTGGAAGCAAACACAAACACACACACATATATATATATTGCCAATTACAGTAACATATAGTGTAACTCTTTTGTGAAATTAGCCCTAACTTCACAATAGATAGCACATCTGGAACTATAACTTAAATTCTTAGCAGCTTATACAGGAAATTCATAGACTAATTCTAAACAGACGACAACTTAGATGCGAATCTGCACACGCAACCCCGCGCGTAAACCTCTTATAATGAGCTTATAAGACTTATTGGTCCATCTCGGCTGTTCCATCCTTTAAACTAAAACTATTAATAAATAGAATTTTAAAATAATCTTAAAGCCAGCCCTTATCATTCGTATACTTATCAAGCTTTCTCTTAAACTCTCTTACATTTACCGCCTCTACAAGTACAACATCCGAAAGCAACCCATTCCAAAGGCCACCCACCCTGTTAGAAAAATGAAACCGTCTTAGCTAAAGATGACTCCTATCCTGCC